ATCGGCTTAATACACTGGCACTGCGTAAAGGTGTTGCATCTCTTTGCGTATTTTATCGAATCTATCACGGGGAGTGCTCTGAGGAACTGTTCGGACTAATTCCAGCCGCTCAATTTCACCATCGCACATCGCGACAAAACTCGCGTTACCATCCATACCATCTGGATGATTGGCGGTCCACCACTGTGCGATTTAGAAGATGTTATCTTCCTCGCACGACTTCCTTGTGAAATCGATTACCATCAGCGATTTTCCGGACCGATACGACTTAGGAACCTTCAAGAAAAGAGCGTACTCCTTTTTAAAAGGCCAGCAACGCATCTGCGATTCCCTCCCTGGTGTTGCAGTTGTTCATGGGCGGTGGTACTCACTTACCATCAGGTGAGCCGCATGCTCGGGCAACCCTCTCCTATAAAAAAAAGTACTCGTAAAACTTAACATCAGTTATAATCAATAAACAATCGTAATATAATAAACCAATAACACCCTCACCTCACTCACCAAGTAGCGGCGAGCAAATTAAGAGTTTTTGGATGAATTAACAACAGACTAATAATAAGAAACCTTATTCAGCGTAATCAAATATGTATACAGCCCACAGTGCCACCTACCGGTTCCAGATTTTGTGATTTTCTGTTTTGACACCAAATTGACATATTACTTGGTGTGAATTTAAGTTTGTTAATTTGACTACAGCTCTATCCCCTCCTATCATAGCTATGAACTATTGTCTCGATAAAATAAATATATTAGTACCTATGAAATTGCCGTTCTTGATAAATGTGTTATAATTTTTTCTATATTTTTTGTTTCTAAAGTAATCACCCAAGCAATCAATGCATTTTTATCAACTCAGTGGCAGTTTATTGACGCCCCTCTTGAAGAAATCAGCTGGACGGAATGCAACAAATTCTTCACAGCCATTTTGCACTGCCTCTCGGTTATTAAATCTTTTCCCGCCCAAAAGTTATCCAAATTCTGGAAAAGTAGGAGTCTGTAGGCGCAAGATCTGGTTAGTGCGCATGACGGCGAGCTTCCAATCCAGCTCTTGTAACTTGGATACGGCGGCGACAAGCCATTGACCAAAGCTGTTTGGAGACGTTCGCGCTTCTCCATCATTGTGTTCACAATACACATCTGCAGTAATGCTCATCCCGTTTGGTAAGAAGCTGTGATGAATCACACCGGCGCTAGACCACTAAACAGTGACTATTACTTTTCTATGGGTAAGTTTTCATTTAGGGCATTGCTTAGGTGCTGAACTAGGATCCAACCAACTTGCTGATCGCTTGCGATTGTCAAACAGAATCAATTTTTCATCGCAGGTAACAATACAGTTCAAAATACCTTTGTTTGTGTGCCTAAGCAGCAGTGCAAGGCATGTACGCACTTCGCGCTGGCGATCATTCAGTTCGTCGATTTGTCACGATTTTTTACCTTGCCAATTTGACAAATGGACCAATATTGTTTTGATACTCACGTCGAAAGCTGGTGCTGTTTCAGACGTAGATTGAGTGTCACCAGCTTCCACAATAGTCTTTAATTTGGCATTGACAACCTAAAGGCCTGTTTTCACTTTGATTAGTGATTAGTGCAGGTGCTTAGTGTTTAGGAGTAAACACGTGTGGACAGCGATTGATTAGTGCAAGTGATTAAAAACCTGTGTAGTAAAGTGATTAGAAGCGTGTTCTATTTTTTTGCGAGTGGACTGCGAGTGTCACGCCCCGCGCGCCCTTCCTTTCACCTCACTCGCAGCATGCCTGCCAAAAACACGTTTGGACAGCAGTAGACATGGGCAATGTGTATCACTTAAAAGAAAAGATTGATATGTATCTTTTGATCACTTGGATATGTATCACTCTTTTATATCTTTATATCCTTATGTATCAGTAGATCAAGCTCGCTTTCACGACACGCATCGCATTACATTGCGTTGCTCACTCAGCTTGGCTCGCTTCGCTCAACTCAATCCTATCAGTAAGAGTGATAGATAAGTACCTATAGAGCTGTTTGCATATTGCTTGGTTGTAACACTGTGTATCTTTCTAATATACTTGGCTGTTGTTTCTTTCTAGGTATCTATTTGTTATGATAAAAAAAAAAATTCCTATTTCTCAGACATGCAGGTTTCCTCACGACGTTTTTCTTCACCGCCGAGCCCGTGATAAATTAGCACTTAAAATTGCAACTAACAATTTCATTGGTGCCGGACGGGATCGAACCCGGGTTGCTTGCGTAATGTGAACTTTACAGCGAGCGCTGTTATTGTTATGATTGATAAATATTAATAGGCACTTATTCGAGAAATTAACTTAAATTTTTAGTTTAAAATAATAATTAAATTAATGATTAACGTAAATAACGTAGGTAGGGTAGGTATTGTTTGTATTAATTTGTAGAAAATATACATTATATAGTTTCGGCTTCTTGAAAACATGCCTGCTGCGGTGGCTGTCTTTTAGCTACGAACCTTTTTACTGGAAACGAGGCATTCTATCTTATTCCTCAGGGGTCACAACACATCTGCATTTTGATTCTTAATCGCAGATAAATGTAACAGTTTATGGGCCACAGCATCCACTTACCATCGTGTGGACTGTGTACTTGTTTGTCACCCTTAACCTACAAAAAAAAAACAGGATATTAATATTCTTTATATATTTAAATACATGTTTTGTTTTTGTTCAACTTAGGTTTTTTCTATTCTTGAATGGCCTACAATGAATAATAACTAAAAATTAAAAAAATACTTATTTTGCATTTTTTTCCTTTTTTAACTGAGTTGAAAAAAAAGGAGGAATCTTTTCTTCTTTGCCTATTTTATATTATTATTTTTATATATACTCTGTCGTAACTTCTTTGTTTATGTAAGATTTTAATGATCCTTTTATTAAAAAGGTCAATACTTCAGAACTGGTCACATAAATTTTAAGAAAATAATTTAGAGATAAATTATTTTCTTAAAATTGCATTTTCTAAAAAGCATGGAAAAATTATTAAAGTAACTATTTAAATGACATTGTAATGAGGGCTAATAATTTTCTTCACACCAGATGTCGCTAGTTGACACTGAGGTAACATTTTTTGTTACACAATGTCATTTAATTGAGAAGTTAGTTTTAAATAAAAGTTTATCAGTTTCTAGAGCATTATATTAATACACAAAACAATGTTTCAGTTGTTTGCTCTTTAATTTTTTGCACATTTTAAACTTTTTTTAATTTTTCTACTTTTATGAATATCGGTGGTTTGGTTTATTAATTTTTAATCTTATTAATATAAAATATAGCTAATAGTACAGAAAGAAACATTAATCTTTATATTTTTTTGAACAAATTAACTAACCACTATGAAATCTGTCAAATATTATACCTCACTTTTAAGTGGCGCTGCCGTGGTGGCAGAAAAGGAGTAAAAAAATTAAAAACCTAAGTACTTAAAAACTAAAAATAGTAAAATAATTTGCACCTCATAGCTTCTGAAGTCTAGGTGTTCGCGCAAAACACTTTCAAGGATTGACGCGAGAGGGCGCTCGGCGCGGTGCATTCATACCGGTTTGACTTTCGGTCGTGCGAAAAACGCCCAAGGGCAGTCAGTCGTCCTCAGGCAGTGCTAAAGATTGGCACGCTGCCAATTAAGCGCGGGAACTCGGAATAATTAAGCGCGGACAGTAAAAATACGGTCTAGGAATTTTGTGACGCGCATTCCTGCTGGGGAGCTTCCCAGGGACTCATTGTGTTTGACTCAGAATCTGCATAAGTGCATTCGACAATATTAGCTAGTGCGGCCTCTGTATTCTAGAACTAACTGTTGAGAAGCGAAACGGTAGTGACCTTTAATAAACTGTAAACTCCGTGTGCGTTTTGTGTGTTAACCTTATAACCAGCGATAGTTAGTGGCTTCTGTAAGTTAGTAAATCGTACGATAGAGTTAATTGACTGTCAACGTGACGAAAGAAGAAAGTGACTGTGGACAACCTCGAAAGGCCCCCTCAAGTTGGAGCGGTGTCGACGCTCGGGCTGCTGCCGACGGCCAAGGTCTAGGTTCAATCACCATCAGTCACACCCAGATACACACCACATCACCATTCTTTCCCTTGCACTACACAACCACATGCGACCTGACCGACTCCGGAGGGACCAGTCGCCTTGGATAGGTAAGTAAGCTTCATCCAAATTCCTTTCGGTCGACTGGCCGTAGTATAACGCTCCCCCATATATTTAATGTAATTAGGAATTTCCACGTGGCCACATTGAGGCTCGACCTACGTCTGCTCGGGAAGTCTTCAGCTCATGGGCCCCTGAGGATCTGATCCTTTAAGGGAGCAGCCGTAGGCCGTAACAAACCGGTAGCAGAGCGTGGTTCCGGGTTCGATTCCCCGGTCGATCCCGACCATAGTGTTTGATAAACATTAAACAATTCTGGTGGCAGGGAGCGTTGGTTTGATTGGTTTAATTTGTATCTACAATCACGCCCGTCCGTAATACGTAAAAATATTTTTTTGTACGTAATAATAGAATTATTTCCCTTTGTTCTTTGTTGCTTGCCTTTTTTTTGGTTAGTGGGTAGATTTGAAAAGCCGCGCCCTAGGTTGCGCAAGCGGGAGTTTTCTAGAGATATACGTCATGTAGGTAGATGATTATTTTTACGTAATCGGTTAATTATCGTTGCCGGATAGTTGTAGTGGATTACTTATCGAAGGGTCGATTTCCGAGCTAGGCATTTTTTGTTGATCGACTGTGATGTGTATCTTCGTTTATACTGTAAGTTGAATTTGAACTAAAGAGTAGTAATGGTATTTGCGCCATTTGAATTTAACTTGATTTGATCGCACTAGTATTTGTTATTTGTTAATTTGATTTGTGTCTTTTCTTTTGTGCTAACTTGTATTTGGTTGATACGTAGTAATTCGTATTTGTGTAATTTCTATTCAACGCGATTTGATAGGAACTGCATTTATTAACTGTTAATTTTTGTTGTATTTTTTGTTTGTTATCTTTGTAATCTGTGCTCAAGCCGCGTCGTAATTTGCATTTAATAGTGATGACATCGCCCAAGCTACTGATCCGTTGTTTGCGGACTGAGCTACGCTGGGCCACAAGCGCCCATGCTTTGATAGGTCGACCGGATAGGGTCCATAACTTGATGAAACAGTTCGAGCAGGTGGATGCTCGAAGGGCCGCAGTGGAGGAGGCTTACGCTGAGCTCGAGGATTCGGATGTGGAGAAGGGAGTCCTGGACTCCTGCTTCGCGGACTATGAGCAGTTCTTGTGGCTCACGGACGAGTTGATCGAGGCTGAAGGCAGGTATGCCGAGGAGGCGCGTGAAGCTCTGATGAGTGACCTGTCCGAGTCCTCTCTGAAGCAGCTTCAGCCGGAGCTGTTGGGACGACTCCCAACTCTGGACCTGCCAAAGTTCTCCGGGGTCCTTTCCGAATGGCTGACCTTCGTTGGTCTTTTCGACAGCCTAGTGGACGCCCGGAGTGACTTGACCCCGAGCCAAAAGATGGTGTACCTCCTGACCTCACTGGAGGGGGAGGCCCTGGGCGTCGTCGGCCACTTGAGATTGTCGGACGACGCCTACCAGACTGCTCGGGACCTCCTAGCCAGAAGATACGCCAACGTCCGGCGAATTGCGGACGAACATGTTAAGCAGCTTCTAAGCCTCCCGCTGCTTAGTGACCGGGCCAGACTGCGTCCGGACCTGTTGGATCCAGTCTTGGCGGCCTGTAATACGTTGAGGCGGCTGGGTTTACCAGTGGGCGAACGGGCTTTTTTGTTGCTCCGCATCGTGCTGTCCCGTCTACCTCTCGACCTTCGAATCCATTTTGAGGAGAGGTACGGCGGGGACGAGGCCTCCTATATTCCGCCCTTCTATGACCTGCTGCGTTTTTTGGAGGAGCAGTGCCGGCAGATAGAGAGCGCGGCGGGCACCGTTGACGACTTACGAGCCGTGCCCAGTGAGAGGCTGAATCCTCCAGGCAAGTCGTCGTCAACCCCCCCCCCCTGCTCCTATTGTCGAGCATCTGATCATCGGGTAACGTCGTGCCCGAAATTATTATGTAAGCCGGTTCCAACGAGGCGAACTATCGCCAAGAAGCGCCGCTGGTGCTGCTCATGTTTGGGAGGACACCTCCAGCGAGACTGTCCGCATCGGCGGCCCTGTCTGCATTGCCAGGGCAATCATCATGCCGTTTTGTGCCTGAGTGCGAACGGCGTCTCCTCTCGGGGCTCTGCCAGGCCCTCGACCCCCACGGGCGGGGGCGCTCAGCCACGCTCTCTGCCGGGCGACTCTCGGCGCCCGCCGGCCAGCCATCAGGCCCCTAACTTTGAAAGGGGTCCCTCCCCCGACCAGTCGGGGGTAATTCCCCCAGGGGCGGGGGTGTCATCACCCCCCCCCCCCTAAGCGTGTGGAGAGGAACTTCACGGCCACTCATCGGTCCGCTGGACCCTTCTCACTCCCGTTAGCTGAGTGGCCGCGACTGGTGTACCACTGTTCCCCATTTGATGGAGGCGGCCCTGGCTAGCTGCCGCCTTAGCTCCCACCACGGCCACCTCCACTGAGCCTTAAGCCGTCAACAGTCCACTTGTCAAAATGTTCTGTTGCCGACGGCCTCAGTGAAGGCGTACAACCCGAGTGGCGACTGTTAGCGATCTCGGGTTCACGCCATGTGGCCTCCCCTTGGTGGTGGGAAGATTAGGGCCCCTCTGGAGCGTTGAATCACGCTGTCAAGGGGTATTAGATTTGGTTTGGTCGAGCACTTAGTTAAAAAATACTTTGAATTAAAATTAAAAAATGCTTTGAGCTTTCCGCGAAATTTTCCTATTTGTAGCGGTTTAAATTAAAAGAATTGAATTTAATCTACTCCTTTAAATGCTACTGCATGTATTTTGTACATATATTTAATCACTGTATTTGATTGTTGCGTCCGTTTGCTGAAAGGAAAATTTGAATTCATTTGAAATTGAATGGCGCACTATTTGAAAGATTATTTATATGTTTATGATAGTGTTTAATCATTTTGCTTTGCGAAGAAGTAGGGCTGTCCCTTACGTTATTGTTTTGTTTAATTTGCAAGTTGACCTATGCGCATCGGTGATTAATTTGGTTGAATTAATTCTGTAGTTGAACATTGATGCTTTTGAAAATTTTGTTGAAATATGAGCATAGGACTACTTGCCTAACAGGCTAGCTAGTTTTGGAGATTATCAGATTGAAATCAGCTGCCGCACTATTTTAGTAAATGATAATATGGTGGGTGGCCTGACTAGGCCTACTGGTTGAAAATTCATACTAGGGACTATCTGTGCGTTTCGTTCGGCTCTCCACAGACGACGTTCATGTGGAATTCGTGGGTGCGCTCTGCACTGAAGCTTAGGAGGCCGCTCGGGGCCGCTTCGTGTCGCGTCGCTGTTTGCAGAGCTGATCCGGTCGGATTGCGGAACTAATCATAGGGGCACGGATAGGTGTTTGAAAGAGGTCGTCGGACTTCTGTCCAGTACAGGGCTTGTTAAAGTGCTGCGATGCCCAGGAGGGGCATCCAGTGGAGGCTGGCCCTCCGGCTTGCCACATTAGGGCTATTTTTTGAGGCGCTGGTTAGGGTTGCAAGATCTGATGGGGTGCCTAAGGTGGCCTAGTTTGGTTGTAGATTCGGTCTTGCAACTTGCCTTCGCGACCTTGTCCCGCTGACCGGTTTGCTTGCAGACCTAAATCCTTATGTCCGGGACGGGGGTTTGTTCGCGCAAAACACTTTCAAGGATTGACGCGAGAGGGCGCTCGGCGCGGTGCATTCATACCGGTTTGACTTTCGGTCGTACGAAAAACGCCCAAGGGCAGTCAGTCGTCCTCAGGCAGTGCTAAAGATTGGCACGCTGCCAATTAAGCGCGGGAACTCGGAATAATTAAGCGCGGACAGTAAAAATACGGTCTAGGAATTTTGTGACGCGCATTCCTGCTGGAGAGCTTCCCAGGGACTCATTGTGTTTGACTCAGAATCTGCATAAGTGCATTCGACAATATTAGCTAGTGCGGCCTCTGTATTCTAGAACTAACTGTTGAGAAGCGAAACGGTAGTGACCTTTAATAAACTGTAAACTCCGTGTGCGTTTTGTGTGTTAACCTTATAACCAGCGATAGTTAGTGGCTTCTGTAAGTTAGTAAATCGTACGATAGAGTTAATTGACTGTCAACGTGACGAAAGAAGAAAGTGACTGTGGACAACCTCGAAAGGCCCCCTCAAGTTGGAGCGGTGTCGACGCTCGGGCTGCTGCCGACGGCCAAGGTCTAGGTTCAATCACCATCAGTCACACCCAGATACACACCACATCACCATTCTTTCCCTTGCACTACACAACCACATGCGACCTGACCGACTCCGGAGGGACAGGTCGCCTTGGATAGGTAAGTAAGCTTCATCCAAATTCCTTCCGATCGACTGGCCGTAGTATAACGCTCCCCCATATATTTAATGTAATTAGGAATTTCCACGTGGCCACATTGAGGCTCGACCTACGTCTGCTCGGGAAGTCTTCAGCTCATGGGCCCCTGAGGATCTGATCCTTTAAGGGAGCAGCCGTAGGCCGTAACACTAGGCTTTAATTATTTTTGGCATTGACTTTCTTTGATGGATTTCATTTTTCTTAAACTTTATTTTATCTCAGTATTATTAGCCTGCTGCGACCCACTGTTACATTCCTTATATAAGGCTTTTATATCTGATCACTAAATGTAATACTATATAATATATTATGCTTAACAATCATACAGTCAACACATTTTATCCACATTTTTCTATAGGGTCAGTGGACATAAGTATTAAAATTAAATTTAATACACATACATATTCACACATATACATATATGTAAATGTTGCAATCTCAGTATGCATAAGCATAGTTTGTATATGTATACTCTTAAGGTTACAATATATCCGTGTACTAATAACTACATAGACATTATATTATATTATATTGCAAACATATAATTAATATTCTTTTAACCATTGTTAGCACTTTCGTATAAAGATTAGACCAAGTTATGTTAATTTAAGTAATATATTATATACCTACTGCCTGTTTCGAATAACTTATATGATAGGTTGATACTAATATGTGAAGTTTAGTTTAAAAGGTACAAAAACACAACTAAATATTTTTATTTTTTATTCCACGAATATGTTTCGCAGTAACCACTTAGTGGGTATAGATACCAGTAAAGAGTACCACGTCTTCATGTAGAATAGCAAATAAGAAAGGATGGTCAACTATAAAATCCATAGGTTCTGGTGGCTTAGAGTTGGAAGACATTGGTACTGCAATGGCTCCTGTAGAAATAAAACAAATTATTTATTTTTAATAGTCTAATATTGCGCCGTGGCTATCTTGAGATTCGAGACTGACGCTAAGTCTCGAATTTCAAGATAGCCACGCTTCAGCTATATTATACGTATACACTTATATATATATATATATATATATATATATATATGTATATATATATATTGGTTGGCTGGACCGGGGAAGAGCCGCGGTCTCACAATAATTTTCTTAATGTACCTAAATAATTTACCTCTCGGTCGAAGTTGGACTTACCTAGTCGGACTATATCTCCCAGGTAAACATACCTACTCGTCAACAACTTTTAGCGTAGTACTCTCAACAACTACCAGCATAGGTGTGAAATGGACGTTACACATGACTTTTGCTTTGTCTATGTTCATCTTAAGACCTATCCGTTGGGAGACTATTGTGGTCATTGAGCGTAGTGCTTAGGTCCTCCAGTGATTACGCCTTAAGGACTACTACATCGTCGGAAAATTGAAGGTGAGTGAAGTACTCGCTATTGACATTAATACCGTATCCTTTCCAGTCCAGTAGGTTGAAAGCGTCTTCTAATGCAGCGGTGATGAGTTTCGGTAATATAACATCACCCTGTTATACACCTCTCTGCAGTTGAATAGGTTTCGTACTCTGGTTCTGTACTCGGATAGCTATCGTAGCCCTACTGTACAAACACTTCAACACTTCGATATACCTACAGTCAATTTGGCATCGCTGAAGGGATTGCAGCACCGCCCAAGTTTCGACGGAATCAAAGGCTTTCTCATAGTCCACATACGCAAGACTAAGTGGCAGATTGTACTCTTCGGTCTTCTGTACAATTTGCCGAAGGGTATGTATTGTTGCCCTATTCCGAATTTCCCTATCTTCAGGTCACCGTTCTTTCTTATGCCTAGTTTTGCGTTGAAGTCTCCCATTAATACCATATAGTGGGTTTGGGAGCAATGTATGGCTCTAGATATATCCTCATACATTTGCTCCACCTCCTCATCGGGATGTGCCGAGGTTGGTGCATAAACCTGTATGACCTTCAACGCAACCCTCGCCGACACACAATCTTTATAACGTTAACGAGAGACTTGTGGACGATAAATCCGATACCTCCTTGGGACAGATGGTCGCCCTCCCCGTGATAGAACAAGTTGCCACATTAATTCTCATCTCTTCGGAACTCAGATAATAAATATCCCAAAAAGAAAATATCCCAGCGCAACTTGTCTATCTCTTCTTCCAGCTCCAGGATCTTCTCGTTAATCCAGGGTGCGTGCGTTGTATGTAGTCAGGTCGAGTCCTCTTAGGTGGCAACCGAACCTCCACCGGAGATTCTTAGCACCCCCTGCCCCGCCGTTACCATGTCGCCACCGTAGCCAGGAATAGCGAGGCCGCTAGGGACTGGGGGCCATCTTTTTGTAACTCTCGTTATTGGGAGTATATTGCCATAGTTGTCACACTTGGCGAGCGGGTTGGCAACCGCAGTTTTATTATTGTAATTTACTGTTATCAGAAAGATGCTGCTGCCCATCTTCTGTCTCAGTTTTCCTCTGTCGCCTCTTACGACACACACGGGAAGATATGGGAGTAGTGGGTTCTTACCCACCTCCACAAGAGGCAATGTATGTATGTATACAAAAATAGAAGTCATTTAAAATAATCTGATACTCACTCTGTAAATACTAAGAACAGACAAGCTAGTAGTAGTACTAGTACCAGTGCAGTTACTTGACTTCACATTAACAATAACCCCTGGGAATGAGGTAATTGCTTTTTTTTAAAGGATAGGGTGAAAAACGAGCACACAGTCCACCTGATGATAAGTGGTTACTGTGACCCATAGACATCTACATCTATCCTCAATAAAGAATCGAAATGCAGATGCGTTATCACCCGTGAGGACTAAGACGGAATGCCTCTTTTCCAGTAAAAAGGGTCTCCGGTTCTCTAGACTCACCATACGAAACACAGCAGCGTTAAACTGTGGTATTCAAAAAATATTTAAAAAATAAACTTTTCGTATTTGATAATAATACCCCATCTATCCTGCAAATGAAAAAGTAAAGCTAATAGTAGCAATGCATATAAGTAGTTATATTCATAAAATGTTTATTTTAACAGTTTACAATAACATTACAAAGTTATTAATGCAGCTAGATTTAGGTCATTTTCTATGGAGTTGTAACGAAATTTTTACTAATCCAAGCGCGTTTTATAAGTTGGTCGACTATTACTCGTTAACTTCTTTAGTCTACTTAGCTGTCATAGTTTTCCTTTTAACTTCATTATATATACTACTATTGTGTTTACTTTTCACATTTCCAAAAACAGCGGTTTGGTTTGTAGAGGGGGGGGGGGGTTTGGAACACACACACATGACTAATGAAAAATACAACTTTAAAGTTAAATATTTCGCAAACGGACCCCTGAATCGAGAATATTTTATTTCAGTTTTCTAGGCGTGATTAATATCTATAACTATGCCAAATTAGATTTGTAGAACCTAGGGTTTCTGAGCAAAACCGCGGACGGAGGGACATGGCGAAACTATAAGGGTTCCTTGTTGTGTAACCACGGAATCCTAAAAATGTGATTTTTAGTTATAACTAATTCTTTAACTCGAAGCCGCTTACCAGTAAATGCTCCCGCAGTAGCACCTTCTTCATCGACCTTCACGATGGCCTCTTGGAAAAATTTCGAGACGGCAACCTCGCGCTCCTTCACTATTCCCGGGGCTCCATCACTGAATATTCTGCTCACTCCCAGCTGTAAAAGCGGGGAATGTTTTTATCCTACATATTTTTTTTTCTAATCCTTAACCTTATTTTATTTTTTTAGTAACCTATGTTATACATGAACTGACAAATGACCTAACAGTCCATTTGACGGTAAGTGGACACTGCCGCCCATGGACGCAACCAACTTCAAACAAAGTAAGCTACGGATGTGTTGTTACCTCTAGAATATCTCATAGCCTGTAATTAATCATACTCTGGTTCTCTATTTGGCGGCAGATGTAGGTAAGAGAGTGGTAACCACCCAGAAGGCCTCTTGGGCAGAAAAGAACTCTTATCACCTTTATGTAAATAATCAATTTTTTTAAAGAAAAAAGAACAATGCACCGCTTAGCGAATTCCATTTTCCTATTATCCCACAGTTATGGTGAGTGTGGATTAAGAGATAAAAAAATCCTCTAAAATTGTCAGTTCATTAAAATCCAAATCAATGACAGTCACTTTAGTTGCCTTTACACATCCTGACAAATTGCGGACCCTTAATGTGCAAACGCAGCGCTCATCTGGGAAACTATATACTTCACCCAGAGGAAGTGAAATTATTACTCACAGCTAAGCAACTCCTTCTATTCATTGAGGACGCTTAGCAGTTAACTGTAGACATAGCAGCGCTCACGATAGATATTTTAGGCCGCAGTGATACTGATCTCTCTAGACTTGCATAGCTGCAAGTACATTAAAAAAAACTATTGTTAAATCCAATTGAGCATACCATAATCGCATTTAAAAAATTACGTAATACCATAAAGTCCAAGACATATTTAAGTATAAATATTACATCCTACTTACTTTTAGTACGTGCTACTATTATTTATTCTGTGCTTTTAAAATATTGTGATAAAAATCTCTGATTAATAATAATCAAGTAATATAAAATAGTAAGAAATTTGTTTTTCTAAAATTTTATATTTATTTGTACAGCGATCTTTTGAGCCGCTGCAAACAACCAATACAGAACGGCGGTTGACGCCGTACGGAGCTACTGAGTGAGGCAGTCTATTTACTAAATAATGAATTCACACAAGGCTGCTCAAACACCGAAAATTTCGACATTTAGCAGCCGAAAAAAATTTATTATAACTAAACTAAACAAAATTAAACTGCTATTTACATTCAGTGACTTCCCACATGATAGATGAAGAGTTTTAAAAATATACTGAGTTGAACAATAGATATTTTCAAAAGTTATCGTGTTTACAAGCCTTGCGGGCTTGATAAATCCACACCATAAGCCACTAAAACCCCTTTTTTATTTAAAAATAGTAGTAAATCGATTCATAAAAAATATTATTAAGTTCAACAATCATTTATCTTTCCGACAATGTGCTTTTTATATCATTTATATGTATAAATGATTGCTAGATACGATTTCATGCGACAAAACGTTGGAATCTTGATTTTTAGGCGCTAGTAGAACATACCTATGCGCGTTGCGCTTACGGCATGCAATAGTTGTCTGTAATGCAAGGAATCAAGTACCACGATAATCGATCTAATTTTAAAATAATATTACAATTTACATGTCAAAGTTCTAAAGATTTTTAATTCCTCTCAAAGTTAATCCTAAATATGTGATATATGAGTACAAACCAGAAAGTAAAGGCAAAATAAAGGACAGGCTAAAATTTCAATATGTGAAAGTAATAAGTAATAACAATGACCCACCAGAAGTAGATTGTTTACCACCTATTTTATGTCACCAGCCTCGGTATATTATAGCTGTATAGCACAAAAGGGTCGACTCGATCGGGGAATGACCACGTCGTTGCAGGACACCAGCGTAAAATAGCAGTATAGTGCTGCTGTGTTTCATATTTTAAGTGAGGAGAATAGGAGACCCTATAGACTGAACGGACATTCCATCATAGTCCTCACCTCAACGCATTTGCATTCTGATCCTTATGAAGGATAGATGTAGGTGATAGGGTGTCTATAGGCTACAGCCACTTCAACCAAGTCCACTTACTATCAAGTGAACTGTGTGCTCGTTTGTTGTCACTAAAAAAACTGTTTGAAATTTCCGATTGCTTTTGCGTTTTCTCCGTAACAAGCTAACGAGTTGAATGGATGATGTTAATATAAGAGCATTACGAACCTTGGGCAATATCTGAGTGAAGTCCAGTTTACTCCTAACTTCGAATTTAGGCAAGTACAAGTTGATTTCCCTTCCCGCTGGGCTCAAAGCGAACACGTCGTCTAAAAGACCCTTCTCGGTCACCTTTTCCAGAACTGACGACAAACCGTCCACTTCGTTAGGCAGTATCACGACCATACGGAAACCTAATTCTTGGTACGGCAATTCGATCATCTGTGAAATTAGTATTGAAACAGTTCGGTAAAATAGATGGTTCGGTCGCGCAGTAAACAAAAAGTTTGATTGCGCTGCAAGTTGGAATCAGGCACAAAACAATATTGTTTACAAATTATTGTTCCGAATGCAACGTGTCAAGCTATAGACTTAAAAACTGTATTTATATGATATCTACAGTCGACTCTCGATAATTTGAAACTCAAGAGACCAGAGCAAAATTTCAAATTACCAAAAGTTCAAAATAACAGTTTAGATAACCAAGAGAGGGAGAGGGGTATCAAGTAAACAAGAGTTTGATCAAAATTAATGATTTATTATTTTAAACATTTGCACAATTACTAACAAATGTTCATTTTGAAAAGAAGTCTCACTCATTTATGTAAAAATCGACAGGTCTGTACATACTACATGTATTTAAATAAATTAAAATTAAAAATTTTGTACAGCCGACTTCAATATAAGTTATTAAAAATAACTCAATAACTACTGGTCTGATCGAGATCAAATTCATATGAGAAGTACCAGCTTTCAAATAAAAAAAGAATCATCGAAATCGGTTCACCGAGTAAAAAGTTATGAGGTAACATATATAAAAAAAACAGTCGAATTGAGTACCGTCTCCTTTTTGGAAGTCGGCAGAATAAACGACAGGTCTTTACATGATAAACGCTTCAAATTGTATTTATGTAATTTATATTATGTACGTACCTATATATTCTATAGTAGGTACATTGCAAAAGTATACATCTAAAATATATTAAAGCGCGTTTTTCCGTAATAATTACGTAAAGTGAATAATATCTCTATTTAATAACGGTTTTAGTTGTACCACGCAGTTAATAGGACGGAAATAGAACGAAAAAATCATGCATGTTCTCTGTCGCAGAAATACAACACAAGCGGTAGGGACACGGAAATATGTGTCGCATAAAGGCGACACAAGCGGCCAAAAGGTTAAACAATAACATCCGTTTTAAACGATAACATTATAACATAACTTGTTGTTCATTCAGAATGTTATGTTGAGGTACCAATGTTTAGTCGATAAATAACATTTCGTTGCGTCTTTGTGCCTGAACAAGTAGTGCTTATAAAATTGTTGTTGAAGATATCGCAATATTTTTTTTAGATAAGGGCCAAGTGTCTAAGAAATAAAACTTAGCAAATCTAATTGAAATCTATCCAGTAGTTATTTCCGTGATGCGCGCACAACTGCAAACCTCTCATTTTATCTCAGTTATGAACAGTTTTAACACGTACCTTAGCACCAATTTCGTTGTCCTCATTGTAGAAGAGGGAATCCTGTAAGTGCATCATAGGTTTCTTTACGACCAGTGACTTGTTCACGTGGAAGTCTTTCTCCTCAGTTTCTGCCGCTTGGAAAGGAACATGCCAGTGACCCTATCAAATATTTAAAATATTAGATCGAATGTAAAAGAAGCTTAATTACATATTAATAAATTCAACCAAAGTAGCTCAGATTCTAAGCGCTCGCTGTAAATTTCACAGTACTCAAACAACCAGAGTTCGATATATAGGCTGCAAATAGTGCCGAAACCAACAGCGCTGCCTTTGCAGTATTTTGCTGAGTTGGAGACCTATTTGATGTCAAATTTAAATAATTTTTTTTTGTTTTATTTTTAATTAATTACGCATGTATGTGCTGCTCCTTATTTGGTAATAAGCGTAAACAGTCTAAGCCAGATGCGTGCATATTTTTGTCCTTTGCGTTTGTACAATATTTTTATGAGTGTGTATCATCATCATCATCATCATTACAGCCCTTCACAAGTCCACTGCTGAACATAGGCCTCCCCCAAGGAATGCCACAAAGCACGGTCCTGAGCCACCTGCATCCATCGACTTCCTGCATGTCTTACCAGGTCGTCACTCCATCTCGTGGGGGGACGCCCTACACTTCGCCTACCGGCACGAGGCTGCCACTCGAGAACCTTTCTTCCCCATCGGTTGTCGGTTCTTCGAGCTATATGGCCGGCCCACTGCCACTTCAGCTTACTAATCCGTTGGGCTATGTCGGTTACTCTGGTTCTACTGCGGATATCCTCATTCCTAAGTTTATCACGCAGAGAAACTCCGAGCATAGCCCTCTCCATAGCTCGCTGAGCGACCTTGAGCTTCCTCATACGGCCAGCAATGAAGGACTATGGCCCATAGACATCTGCATCTATCTTCGTTTGCGAATTAAAATGCAGATGCGTTGTCAGCCGTGAGTACTAAGATAGAATGCCTCTTTTCCAGTAAAAAGGGTCTCCGGTTCTCTACGCTCACCATACGAAACACAGCAGTCTCAAGCTGCTATTTTACGCTGGTGTTCTGTGAGAGCGTGGTCCTTCCCCGGTCGAGCCGACCCATTCGTGCTACAACTATACTATTAATATAGCTGCAGCATGGCTCTACCACGTAAAAATGCAGCTAAACCCTTGTTGTTGGTGGCACATTAATTTAGATGCAAGAGCACTTACCTACTTAAGTAAACTTTCCCGACTCTATTGACTAGTAATACCATTAATGTTCAACTCTAAGAGCTAGGACAATTTTCAATACACACATCGTCCTGGATCCTTGTAGATCATTGCAGTGAAAACTGCATGTAAATTTATTAAGTAGTTGTCCTTTTACAGGTTTTTAGATTCAATAAATTGCGCGCGTCGCGATTGATTTGGTACCTGAAAGAATATGACGTTGAAAAGCGCGGCCGCTGCTGATTTGTCCAAAAGATTTTCTGATACGGGATCCTTAATATGGCCCTTTGACTTTTCATCGGCCTGTGGAAAAAAATAAAGATAATTTCATTGCCTACAAAAGTTCTCAAACTTAAAAATTAGTCATAAATTCCAGTTCAGAATTTTTAGGGATTAGGGATAGCAGTTTCTTTTTTCTACCGACTTCAAAAAGGAAGAGGTACTCAATTCAGCTGTATGTTCTTTTTTTAAGTGTTATCTCAAAACTTTCTTCTAGGTGAGCCGATTTCGATGATACTTTATTTATTTGAAAAAATCGTGTGGTCCCATATAAATTTAATCAAGGTCTGATCAATAGTTTTTGAGTTATACTTAATAATTTATATTGAAGTCGGTTGTACAAAATTTTAAATTTTAAATTATTATTATTACTACATAAATGCTTGAACTTATGAAACTTATCAAAAACGACCTCTACAAATAAACTTTAACTACAAAAACTTTACGATCGATACTGTCAACTCTACAACATTACTCGGTATTGAAATTGACACACATCTAAATTGGAAACCCCACATTCAAAAATTAACGAGTAAATTGTCCTCATTTATATTTGCACTCATACATTTGAAAAAAGTTACTGACTTAAAAACAGCTCTTTCGGCGTATTATGCGTATGCTCAGTCTATACTAACTTATGGAATAGTCATCTGGGGTAACTGTACTGACATAGATAATATTTTCAAATTGCAAAAAAAATGTATCAGAATCTTGACAAATATAGAAAAAACGGACTCATGCAGACCACATTTTAGAAAACTTGGTATACTCACACTTACGTCTATTTACATTATTGAATGTTGTAAGTTCGTTAGAAAACATCCAATTCTATACGATCCTGTAAATACTGTTAAAAGAAATAATCGAACTCAAAATAAATTGAATATTCAATTCATTGAGATATAATGTACTACGTACTAGAGAAGCTATTCCGAACAAAAACTGTGCACTACTCTATGTCTTCGCGCATGCGCGGTAAATAGTACAGTCGCGCATGCGCGGTTTTTGTCATCATAGATTATATACGTAGGTAGAATGATCAGTATGTAATAAGTAAATGTTTATTTAGATTGTATTGTAAATTGTATCGAGTACAATTTTTTAAATTGTTATTTATATTGCATAATGTGTTAATATAATGTAACATAATATTATGTCAGAATTATATTTTAATTATATTTTATTTAATAAAAGGTAAATATGTAGAATATAAAAATATGCATTTATTTTCAAAGATCATTATTATTACATTTCTAGCATTCTCTAACGTATTTATACGCAGCTGGTGAATAATAGTGTAAAATCAATGCGAATTTACGTAAAGGTGCATACAGTGTATAATTAATAATGCGTGCTCTGTTTATTCTTTTTAGTTAAAGATTTATGTTACTCCATAACTTCTGCTTTACCCATTAAATCAATCTCTGCATTTAAGTTGAGACCGAATTTATGTTTCAAATTTTCTACAATTGATTTGTAAGAAGCACATTTTTTCTTTAGATAAATATTTTGTCTTAAATTTCTCAGTAAGTTTCTTTCTAGCTTTTAAATTTTTATTCCTTTTTTATTCCTTGCTATTAAATACAAACACAATATTACAACGTGCTTATATTTTATTCTTTTTATAATAACCTAGAATTATTGATTCCGTTATTAAAGTAGAACTATATTTAAAAGCTTAGGCTTCGTATACATCACTCAAACTTAGCTTAGGTGACATCACTTGCGTAATTTATTTTTAAGTACAATTTTGCTCGGACTATCTAAAATTGAATTTGTACTGCTTATTGATTCAGACAACGGTTCTGATACTTCCTGTTCACCACATTTTGTTGGCTGAAAAAAAGATACTAGTTATTTGGGAAGCCTGCAAAAATTCTAGTGTTAGGTACAGTATTAAAAAACCGTCATATACTAGAATGACTCGCGCGCCGAGATTTCCCTCTCTCTTAAGTCCCGTAAATATACTGAACATTACAAAACATTCGTTCGTCGTCTAATCAAAAAATAAAACAAAAATCCCAGCAATGTTATATAATTATATAATTACATTGTCACATGGTACTGCTTATTTCTTGAAGTACATTCTTCCTGTTTCTGCGGTTTATTTGTCTTTTTTTTAACTGCACGGAAAATGTGCTTGAATAATCTGACGTTTCTTCGCTGCAATTCTTCTGAACAAATTTGATCCATGATTATTTTGTTTCATGACACAGCCGAGGAAAACATTAAATAAAAATAATAATAAAAAATATTAATTTTAATGCATTAACCTTTCCTACAGTGTTTATATATAAATATTTTACTGTTCATAATTACTTAACATTATACGTCGATAGTGTCAAGTCTGCGCATAAAAATGTTTTACTCTTTGACATTCACGTATACGTTGCAGTTGATAAAATATAATTAAATTAAGCGTGTCTTAAAGATAATAATAAGTTTAAATTACTGGTGAAAATTCACTCCTTGACTTTTCCTTATATTTCTCGAGTAGTTTGAACAGTATCTCAATGCACACGAAGGCATATTAATTTAAAAATAATTCTTCACTCTAACTTCTCACGTTGCAACAACCGCTTGACACAGACTAAGTGAGTTTGAGAGCGCGCACTCTAACTCGTGTTACAAACAATCGAGTTGAGGCGTCTTCTCTAGTACGTAGTACATTATATCTCAATGATTCAATTCTCAAAATTAAAATTATTCACAACAGGTCCGATACGATGGTAATTAAAATATATAATAATGTTCCAAATAACTTCAAAAATATTGACAACACAAAGTCTTTTATAAAAAAAATTAGTCATTCTTAATCGATAAAAGTTATTATAATTTAAGTGAATTATTTATAGATGCAAATAAATAGTAAATGTATGTGTAATAATTAAAAAAAAAATTGATGTTAGACTAGCAAATGTTAAGAAATAAGATAGTTGATATTTAGTATGTAGTAGTTAATATTTAGTATAATAAAATAAATAACTACCCTCTTCAAGAGTACCCTAAACCGTAGAGCATGTATGAAGGGAATAATGAAAGTGGACGAAGCAAAACAAGTATGTAAGGATCGTAGCAAGTGGAAAGAACTGGTCTCTGCCTACCCCTACGGGAAAGAGGCGTGATTATATGTATGTATGTATGTTATAAATTGCTATGCCCCTACGGGGCGTCACTTGATGTATGATGTATTTCTTGTGGCATGCAAATTATTTAATAAATAAATAAACTCTTAAATAAAAATAATTTTTATGTATATAATTGTATGGCGAGAAGTCGTCATAAAGAGGTCGAGGAAGTTCGTCGTCTTTAGCAATAATGGAATTAACGCAAAATGATTTTAGGGCTATGATTTTTATATTGCATTGCTCGTCTTCAAAATGTTTTTGGGAAGGGAGCACCTCATTTGACCACCGTAAGGCGCTAATGAATTTGATTGTGGCCGTGTTTCTCTCCATGATGAAGTTCGTGAAGGTCGGCCCTTTACTGCGATCACTGAGAAAAATGTAGCTACTACTATAGTTGCCTAGTGAAGAAAACAGGCGCATCACTTACGAGGATATTTGGGTATTAAGTATGAATCAAAAAATCATCAACATTTCAACGTTAGAAAACGTTTTTGCCACTGGATTTCTTATGAAAAACAAAAACGGGCTCAAGTTGAATGGTGGTAAAAACTAAAAAATATTCTTAAAGTATAATCATGGACTTTAGGAAACATGGATATATTGTTACATTTCAGAAAACAACCAAATTTAAGCTTTCAAGAAGCGTCAGCAAAAAAATTATTGCGTTTTTTCCCACACGGGTCTCATAGTAATGCTGAATGGTACACTAGCATTTATTCGCTCAGTGTCTTTGAAAAGGTTAGAGAAAAATGACCAAGAAATCGCATCCTATTACACCATGATATGCATCGGCGCACACCGCAGACAAGACACAATCATTTTTGGCTTCTGAAAAGATGGTGCTCGAGACCCATCCCGCATGCAGTCCAGACTTTGCACCATGCGATTTTTTCATTTTCACATAAATTAAAAATTTGATGAGAAGTTTGACAATTACGGAGGCAAAAGAGGCCGTGATAGCTTCAACCAGCACGTTATGAAAAATGGGTTGAACGAATGAATAAGTGCTTAAAATACAATAGAGGATAGCAGCTTTGAAAAGAAGTGAATACATTAGTTTACATATGTAAATTGTTTTATTACGCTGAGTTACGCAAAACTATACCTATATATGTGCCTCAAAAAATATTAAAAAAATCAAAATTTATATAAAAATACGCACGTATAGAATGCAATGTTGTGTAAAATTTCAAAGCAATCGGTGATAGAACAAACGTATATTAACATGCAATCTGTGGAGCACATTCCATGGCATCGTGCAAGCCATTATTTAAAGAAATTAAAGTGTTACCACTCGCATATATGTATATCAAACAAGCTGCGACTTTTGTCAAGCAATTCCCTGAATACTTCCCAAGTAATATTTTTTTTAAGAAATAGAAGTTTAAGAGAAAAATCTAATAACAGGATATACCTTCCAAAATGTAAATTGATGTTCTTTCAAAAAAATTCGTACATAATGGCGATTAAAATCTTTAATTCTTTACCCGACGAGTTTATAAATTTCCCAATGACATAGTTAAAAAACAAACTTCACGAATGGCTCTTAATTGTTTTTATACCGTTAATGAGTATCTTGATCATAAAAATCAAAACAAATTACATATTTAATATCTGTATCTAAATTGCTTGAATTTTTTGCTGTGAGTTAATAAAATAAGACATCGATAGAATAATTATTGGTTGGTTGATTTTACTGTTTTTACATGTGAACATTTATATTTTGACATTTTTGTAAACGATTGTGTGACATTGTACTTCGTAATTATTCTTTTGACATTTATTTTATTATTAATTGGACATTTTTATTAGTACTAAGGTACGCGAGGGTAATATGGTCACCTTAAGCTTTGCCGCCTTATAAAACCAAAACTAAGAGGAGGACAGAGACAAATACACAATGTCGTATACTATAACTAATATAGAAAAAAATAACAAACAAGCCTTGGCAATAATTAGCAACACTTCGAAAAAACCAACTTAAAAAAACTAACTATAGTACGTGAGGGTAATATGGTCATCCGGTTAATATGGTCACTTTCTTATAACTCAAAAACTACAGCCTAATTTTCATAGATGGCTTTGTGATACGATAGCTCTTGATCAGTCTATCAAATAATAAAGGGTCAAAAAGGCTGCTTTATCGACGCCAATTTGACAGTTGATATTATTGTAAATATTTTAGTCGATTTTTGTATTGTGTAGTATAGTTAGTTTTTTTTTAAGTAGTATTTTCGAAGTGTTCCTAATTATTTGCAAAGCTTGTTTGCTATTTTTTTTTCTTAATATATTAGTTACCTTCGATCTGCCGACGATATAGTCCTTATGGCAGAATCGCTGGAGGACCTAAGCACTATGCTCAATGACCTCAATAGTGTTTCCCAACTGATAGGTCTTAAGATGAACATGGACAAAACAAAGATCATGTTTAATGTCCATGTCACACCTATGCCGGTAGTTGTTGGGAGCACTAAGCTTGAAGTTGTTGACGAGTATGTTTACCTGGGACAAATAGTTCAAGTAGGTACCTAAGTCCAACTTGGACCGAGAGGTCAATCGACAGATTCAACTCGGTTGGGCAGCGTTCGGGAAATTACCGCACATCTTCTCGTCAGGTTACCTCAAAACTTGAAAACAAGACTGTACAACCAGTGCGTGTTGCCAGTGATGACCTATGGTACTGAGACGTGGTCCTTCACTGCTGGCCGTATGAGGAAGCTCAAGGTCGCTCAGCGAGCTATGGAGAGGGCTATGCTCGGAGTTTCTCTGCGTGATAAACTTAGGAATGAGGATATCCGCAGTAGAACCAGAGTGACCGACATAGCCC